GTCGCGGCGGGGGCCGCGGGCGGTGCGCGGGCGCGGATCGCTCCGTCCCGCTGCCCGGCGGCCTCGGCCGGCGCCCCGGCACTGCTGTGTGCGGTGGCCGCCGGCTCCGGAGAGCGCGTTGTGGCACTCGGGTTCCTCTCTAAAATGGTGCCAGCAGCCTCAGCGCGGAGCAAGCGCGTGCAGTGGCGGATACGTGCCAGGAGAGCGGGGAAGGCTCTGCTGCTGCCGAAAGGGAGCACAACAAGCTGGGTGTGAGGCCTGCTGACGGATTTAATTTCTTGGGTGTGACAGATTCCAGGGGGAAGGAGGGGGGGTGAGGGGGAACCTTAAGTGCTTGAAGATCAGATCCTGCATGAATTACTTCGTTCAAAAGGCTTCAAATTATTTTTTCAGTGTTGGGCTGGATGATTTGGTATGCAGATTTAAAATAAAGAGATTTTGAATGGGGAGCTCTTTTAAGGAGAGAGAGATGAGGTGGTGATCTTGGAAATCTTTTGTTTCTGTTCTTGTAACATGCTCTGCTTTGGAGCAAGGTTAAGTCCGTTTGCTTAAAAGCAAGTCTTTCTTGGAACATCATTTTTTACTTTTCCTCTTCCCCTGTTTTTTTCTTCCTCTTATCCTCTGGCTGTAATCAGGGAAGTAATTAAAAATATGTGGTTACCCACGTTTAGTAGAATTAAAGCATAACAGAAGGCAGGTTGGTGCCTCTTTGGCCTTGCTGATTGGAAAGAACATATTCTTGAACTAAAATTCGAAATTATTTGAACTCCTAAACTTGAAAACTCAGAATATCATTATATTAAAAATTATGAATTATGATATTAAGGTATTTAAACTCTGTATATTACAAAGTAAATGGCAGTATGCTGATATGCACGTATTCTTACGGCTCTGTGTGTGTGCATGCATATATATATATATATATTCACTTGCCCACTTTTACTGTATGTTGGTCCTAGGGTAAGAAGCTTGATTATGGATGAAGAAGGTTTTTTAAATGCTGTAAACAGACTACAGGCAATAATAAAAATGTATTTGATGGTAGTACAAAAAGCTATGTGGAAGTTGTGCAACATGTAATCACAGACTGTCCAGCCAGGTGGGCATGTAGTGTACTTCCTTAGCCTCCACAAAGTTTGGAGCTTGTCAGTATATCTGTCTCTGGGTTTGAATTAAAAATCCTTGTTGCAGTTTTTTTTTTTTAAACTCCTTGGGTTGAGAAATAAATGGTAAAAGAAATTGCTGGATTTAATTTCATGGATAATTTCTTAAAAAGTTGTGTAAAACATGAATGTGGAAGGTTCAGTGTTGTGGAAATTTATTTCTTTTGTAACACCTCTCAGTTGTAAAAGTTTTCTGAACTTATTGTCCCCAGAGTGTTCATAAGTGAAAATCAACAGGTAGCAGTATCTTTTCATTAGTGAAAGATGACTTCAGAAAGGACTTAACCACTGATAACTGCTCTTTATGGCAGCTTAACGTACCTGTAAATGATACCTCCAGAAGCAGAAAACTGAGTTCTTGTTTGACTTTTTTTTTTGTAGAAAATGTAAATACAGTTCAGTTATTAGACTCCTGGGCTATCTCCACAAAGGGAGCTAATGCACACCTGGGTTCATCCTCACTAAACTTGGATGAACTGTGACTTGTGATTATTTTTGGAGTTCGTTATGACTGACAGTGGGCCACATAAAAATTTCATAAGAAGAAAGAAAGAAAGAAGAAGAGGAAAGTTAGGTTAAATCTTAGGTATCAGCTAATTTACCATTACTAGTTGTTCAAATAGTATTTTCATTTACTGCAAATTTAGAGAAATTCCTGTAGTCTTTATCAACATAGGAAACTTTAAACTGGGACAAATGGCCTGACAAGTGTAGCACATTAAAAAACTGTCTTCTGTTGGCATATAACACTCTTTATAATGTTGCAGAAAAATTTTGCATTAACATACTCCTTAAAATCTTGAACTCTGTTTCCTCTTTTTAAGAAAACTCAATTTTGTCAGCTGGTGAACCATCAGTACATCAACTACTAAAAAAAAAAAAAAATTTGAGAAAACCCAAACTGTTTTATATGCAAAGGATGTGGAAGCCTTCTAAAAGAAAGACACATGGATTTTGTAACACTTATTTGAGCTAAAATGAAAGGAAGTTACGCCAAGCTTACAAAATCACTTCTACATCATAAGATAGTGCTAATTTATTTTTGTAAGCAAATTATTCTTTTGGAAGTAAATTTGAGATAACCATTCTTGGAAGTTTCTTCTGACCATTGTGGATCTGATAATGGCCAGTGAAGTGAGTTGACCATTCCCTGATGTTTGGAATGCTTTCAAAGCATGTGCTCTCCTCCTTGGGATAATGATTAATTAGGTTTTTCATCTGAGTTTAATATTGTCATCCTTGAACTTACAGTTTGGTTACTCTGGGGTGGAGGAGAATCACGGGAATATTTGCCATGGCTGAGGCATGTGAAATGCTGCAGGAAAAAGTAGCTGTTAAGAATCTGGACAAGGAATAGGATGGAAGAATGTGTGTTTTAAAAGGTATTGCTGATGGCTTAAGAGATCTAACTATTTTATCTTTTCCTTGCTGCCATGCAGAGTATGCCAGCCTATGTTCTGTAAGGAAACAATATTATGTTAATATGCATGTAGATTACATAACGTGCCAAGAAGAGTTTGTCCCTCTCTAGGGGCTGTGCCCAGAACTTAGGACATGGGAGGGAGTGGCAGAGTTGTTAATACTTGCCTTCCATAGATGTGCACTTGAAAGCCTGTTAGTTCTGACTGTCTTTGCCTAATTCTGGTATCACCTGAAGAGTTTTATTGAATCTGGGAGAGATCGGAGATAGAAAATACCAGTAGAACCATCAAGAAAACTTTGCACAGGTACTGTCTGTTGACTGTTGGGACAAATCAGCTTATTCTCAGGAGACATGGCTGCTATTGCTTTAGTCCTTCTGCTTACTGAAGATTGAAGAGAATAAAAGGAGGAGAAGGGAAGATTGTTGTCTGCTATCAGAAATCACCCACTGTATAGGGGGAATTGGTGGAATTGGATTCTGTCGTCCTAATGAAATCATACATCTCTGTTCAGATTTGCAGTCTACCTTGTTCACTTGTAAAACAGTTTAGGATTGTACGACGGACTAAGGCAGAGCTGAAGGGACATGCATTCTATCCTTAGTTTAATTTTAAAAGTTTGTAAAGTGAGGGAAATGCATTGGCCTCAATGAGACTGTATAGCAGATTGTCTGATCAAATACAACTAGCTGTACTCATCACAAGGGAAAAGTCAGAAATTAAAGACATTAAGGTATAGATTGGTTGACTGTACAAATTAGTATCTAATGCCAGTTTAAGAACCCTCTGTGTATATCCCTAAATTACAGGGGGCTGTAGTGTCTAATTAGCTATCCCTAGATGATATCTGACTGCAGATAGGAAATCAAAGTTGTGAAGAGCCATGTAAAGTGCCTTTCATCCTGTAGCATTCATCTTTTTAATTGCTGGCCAGCCAGCATTTTCCTAGGTGTTACTAAGCCTTTCAAAGCTGGTTTATTAGGATGTTGACTAAGTTTATTATAGCACTGTTAGGTTTGTGTATACCAGATTCTTCTGCTTGTATTCTGCTCTGTTTGGACTACATGGGTTGTGTATCTGAATTTAATCACTTTCAGTATATTTGTTTTATGCATTTGCACAGTCTTTCCTATAAAACATTTGGATGTATAAACCCGTGTAAAACATTTGGATCTATAACATCCTGTGGCAAATTTAGGTTGATTATCATTTGCACACAGTTTAACCTTGTTAGTTTTGATCTGATCTTCAGCTATTGTCTTTTGACCCTTTATTTTTATATTGGGCAAGAGAGGGCAGAATCTCTATGCAACTTCTCTGAGCCAGTCATTTTGTAGGCCTTTGTCTTGTTTCCCCTGTTGGCTATAACTAGCATCTTCCCCAGACTGAAGAGGCTGATCTAATCAGTTGTTGATTATATGAAAGCTATTCCATGTATTTTTAACTTGCCTTTGTCTGAGCTGTTTTTTACTTTACTCAGAAGGGATTTTTTTTACTTTTTAAGGTTGATTTGGTTTTTTTTTTAAAAACAAGTTAACTAACCCTGCTCTCAGTATTTGAAATACAGGCACAAATTAGTTCTGTGCACTGTCACAATAGTGTTCTGTTTATTTTTCTAACTGTTTATTGATCCACAGGGAGCATTAAAGAGTCCAACTGATCTAAAGTAAACTGTTCTATATCCAGATATTGTTGTGGGTGGCAGTTACTAGCCCAGAGACTGTGATTCCAGCAGGAACCCAGAAGTTTCTCCTACACACAGATACCTAGGCTTTGCTTTATATTGATCTCTAAGCATTGCTTCTCCTTATTGTACGTCACAGTCCTACTCCAGTTCTTCAGTTAGCCCTTACCTTCACTGGTATGGCTTTGTATTGTCAGCAGTCTTCTTCCCCTTTTGTGAGGTCATTTATTAATATATTGAACAGCATAAACCAATGCAGGTTTTTCCCAGGGATCTGGAGGTGATTTTCTGCAGGAAACTGCTTGGACAGTTTATGGCTGTTTCTGAGATACTTGTGCATGCAAGAGCTTTCCCTTTTTTTCGCTTGGTTGCTTAGTTTCCTCAAGATTTAAGTGAGGGACTTGGAATCTCAAATAGAGTATCATTTAGTTGCCCTTTATCCATGTTGTACTACCCCATACTCTTAATAGATTCCATTAATTCTGCAGAGCAGGAGGTCACATATTCATAGAATAATTTTCATTAGAACAGACCTTAAAGATTTTCTAGTTCCAATTTCCCTGCCATGGGAAGGGACACCTTCCACTAGGCCAGATTGCTCAGAGCCCCATCTAACTTGGCCTTGAACACTTCCAGGGACAAGGCATCAACAGCTTCTCTACGAAATGTGTTCCAGTACCTTACCACCCTCTCAGTAAAGAATTTAGTCCTAATATCCAAGCTAAACCTCCCCTCTTTCAATCTGAAGCTATTACCCTTTGGGCTGTCACAAATGCCCTGGTGAAAAGTTCCTCTCCAGCTCTCTGTCACCCCTTCAGGTACTGGAAGGCCACAGTGAGGTCACCCTGAGCCTTCTCTTTTCCAGGCTGTGTTGCCTTAGTGACAGCCAGGTTGAATCTTTCCCATTATATTATTTGTTTGTGTCCACTAAGTCTATTCTTGATTACGTTGTTTACTAATTAGCGCAACAGAGATGTCAGTCTGGATCTTCCTTGAGGCTCTTTAAGTATTGACTGTGTTCTCCACATGTTTTTTTAGGTTCTTTGTCAGCTCCAAGAGAGCTAAAAACACAACTGTTTCATTTGCTTAAATGTTCACTGCTACTTCTGCATAATCTGAGACCCTCAACGGATTAAACTATGGAAACCTCTTTAAACTGTTGGACAGTGAAGTCGTACAAAAGGATTTTACTTTGCTTCATCAGATGTTCCTTTATATCTGATAATATTTTTACCTTTTGAATTTATTTTACCAGTCTTTAAAGAAAGAATTGATTTGTTGTTTCATTCTGTTTCAGCTGGGAGGCTGGGGAACAATATAGTCTTATGTCAGATTTGTTAGAGTGTAAAATGGTCTTAATTTTTCTCCTGGATATACGCAGCCTTTTGTAAGGAACTTCCTTCCATCTGGAGTTCTCTCTCTCCAGTTCAGATAGCTCCAGTTCGGGTATTTTGAGATGTTAGATACTCTTTAGAGCCCAGTATTAAAAATGAATACGCTAATTGAAGTTTCTTGGCAAGACATGTTTTTCTAGCCTTCTAATATTTTACACTTCTTTTAGGCAAAAAGTATTCTAGTTATATAGTGCTGTCATTTATTTTGGTGATCAGATTCTTGTATACAGCTTAGTGTGAAAGACAGGGTAGATTGAGATAATTTGTTAAACAAGGAAAAATAAGGAACAGTCACTGTTAGGCATGAAGAATTGTAAGCTGATAGTGTGTTATGGGAGTAGTCACAAAAATTATTCTTCACCAACAAAGTTTAGGGATTTTTTAGCACCTGATGAGGTGGCTGTGGGTTTAACTCTGGTGGTTGGAGATTGTCCCCCCTAATATTTTAGTTTATTGCTTTCCCCTCAGTATTATTCTCAAACAGTGGATAGAAAAAAAAAAAAAAGTAAAGACTTTTTCCAAGTCCTCTTTATCACTGACCTGAATAAAAGGATGGATTTGTTTGGATTTTAATATTCAGTTTCTCTTAAAAAGTCCAGTTGTTCAGCATATGCCTTTGTATTGTGCTTCAAGTACAAATTTTAATATGCAGCCCATTTTGAGTTCAAATAATGGTTTTAACCAGTGTGATAAGCAGAGGAAAGGGTGTTTGTGAGTTTTTTTCTGAAGTTAAGGGAGAAGTTTATTTACAGGCCTGTGTGGAGAGCTAGCAAAGTGATTACTCCTCATCACTGTTTCATAGTGTGAAAAAATTAAGTTAATGAACCAGTCTTAAGCCAAACTGATATCTGGAAAAATTTTGACCACCAGCTGTTAAAGATACTGCCCTAAATAATGCTGCCATCTACAGTTCTTGCTGTAGTCTGAGGGCTATATGTTCTCATCTTGCAAGATAAGGGATTCTGTCAGTAAATATTCCATTTTTGAGAGAGAAATATTAAGTGAAATTCTTTAGTACTGATTCAATTCTAAAGAGTACCAGAACATTTGAAGAATTTTTTTTCTTCCACTGTACCCTACATGAGGGATTTTAATGTGCCTGAATATAACATCTGTCTTGTTTAGACCTACCACCTGCTTGTTTAATTTGATGGCCTTTAGCTACTGCATGGATCATCATGGCTAATAAGCTGTTTCCCATCTGGCTTATTCAGTGCTCAGTGTCTTAGTCTTTTAAATGCTGAAGTTCTTAATGTGGAGTAAATCTGCTACATAGAGTGAAAAGGATAGGGCTGCTGCTAAAGGTTGAAGGGAGAGATTGGAGCACTCATGCTGAGACCAGAGTTGTACCTTTTAGGGGAAAAAACAGTAATATTGGAACAAATGGTTGTCTTTTAAAAGTAGCGTAGGATATCTTGCTAAATAAAACACTTCAGGAATAGTGCCTCTATGATGATGTAGTAGTTGAACCTAGTCTCAAGCAATGGATCTTCTGATCAGTTACAAAAGATGCAAAATCATATGTACAGCTGTCTCAGTCTTGGTGTTGATTCTTAGAGAAATACTTGGATACTTCAAGACAAAGGACTTCAGGCATAAAATGAAGTTGTGGATTTTAGTATGAAAAATGGCCAATGCACTACTTTGACAAAAATGGGAGGGGGAATGTACATTTGCCAATAAACTAAGGGGAAGATCTTTCACCTTTTTTTTTAACCTTTGTTATTTTGATGAAACTTGCTTTCTTCCTGAAAAACAAGAATCAGTTTTTAGCTGCCTTTCGCACTTGGAAACACATGTGAAACCAATTATTTTTCTCTAGACGGTAGATGGAATTCATAGTGTGAGGAAAGAGTTTCATAAATTGCCCTGTCCTTTACTTGAATTCTTGTTTGTATGGCACCCCTCAGTGCTGGTGTAGAAACTGGTGTGAAAACAAAATCTCTGCCTTGGTTTCTTGGGGTTATTTAGGTTTTGTTTCCTCTTTCTCGAAAGCTAAATAGGGATTTTGAAATTCTCACCATATTAATAATAAGGCCTCCAGCTAATGTGCTCTAAAGGATGATGTCTTGGGTTATAGCTAGGGTGGAAAATCTTGCAAATAGTTGAATTCTAGTGTTGCTAGCTGCATTTGAAGAAATCTGACAGAATGTTTTAGAAAATACAACTAAATATCTTTCCCTTGAGGGCAGGTATTTGAGAGATTATGGCATCTGAAGCTCACAATGTTAAGAAACAGAAAGTCTTGCTTATTGAAGGTCATCCCATTGATCTCCCCAGAAAAAGAATCTCTTCTTCCACTAAAAAGATCATGAAGGAGGTAAGCTGTTTATGTTGTTTGTTGGGTTTTTTATGTCCTCTGAGAAAAGTGAAGTAAAGATTTAAACTGTTTTATAGTTCTGAGCAGTGTAAATCTAGAAGCACAGCACTACTAAACAGTTGATATTTAGATATGCAATAGAACTTTAAATTCTATTTAACTTTATATAGCAGTTATATTATGAAAAATATGTGTTGTAATAGATACAGGCAGCGGCTGCACAGATCACTGCATTGTATTTCCCATATGAGCAGTAGGTACTGATTGTTGCAGTCTTACTCAGGTGTGCTTTTTTGCAATCTAGCCAAAAATGTTTCAATTCTGTCATGAAAAATTCTTTCTTGCCAAGAGAGCTACATGGCACAAGTGAGAGGTGGAGTAGGTGAAAGCCATTCATTGACATAAATCTGCCATATAATTATACAGCTTCATCTAGCATGTTGGTAGCACGTAGATTTTCACTGGGTTCTTGCTACTCAAAAATATTTTTAATAACCTCTTACCTGTGTTACTGGCTGAAGAGTAAGACAGTGGAGTACAGAGGAAGCACTGGAGAGGCAAACTTACTGTAAGACCTTTTCAAATAGTGGTGAAGATGTCAGTATCCTCTGTTTATTGAAATTTTATATTAAAACTAACATTTTATGACCAGTGTTACCAAAAAAAATCATAACATTGTCTTGCTGATGTGCACAATCTAAATGCTACCATTAATGCTAAGTAGTATAGATGGGAGTGTTTGACCCTTTATAATAATACAGCTTTTTTTCTCTATTTGCTTTCTTCTCCCAGGGTAAGAAATCTCCAAAACAGCTGGCTTCATACACAAACAGGTAGGAGGGTTGTGCTGTGTGGTATCTGAGTTTAAAGAGTGACAAAGGTGGGGAGAAAATCACAGTTGAAATTGATTATAACACCAAAGCAAACACAAATGGATGGTAGGTCTTGATTTTAATGACAGTTCTTGGTTCTTGTGTTTTCTTCCATAATAATGAGTCTCTGCATTAACAAAAACAGAGAAGAATATTGGTGGCATGACTTCTCATAACCCAAGTGTCATTAAGATATGTATTGGGGGAAAAATGTTTTCAATAACCTGAAAGCTAAATTCATAATTATACATATATGTATAAACTTACTACTTTATTATTTATTTTTACTATTAATTCATAATTATACATATATGTATAAACTTAATAATGCAATTGATTTGGTTTGGATCAACCTTCACTAAAATAGTGCTTTATTATTTCAGAGTAACAGTCGGAAAAACGGTGACCAGTCCCCTCTCTCTTTTCAAAGTGGTGTATTGTAAAAGGAAAGTTCATTGTTATACTCCAAAGCCTTGTTACAGAAAGAAGCTGTGCCCTAAATCTAGGGGCCGTGACATGGCAAATAAAGAAAATGAACTGGCTTGTGCAGGGAATCTGCCAGCAAAACTTCACAACAGTCGGACACACTTGCTGAATTCTAGTGACTCTGGCTCGTCTCAAACAGAAGGCCCCTCATCCAAATACAGTGCATTTTTTTCAGAGGTGGGTAGAGTTGGAAGAAACTCTAGTTAAAAAAGAAGTGTTCGTAGTAATTAGCTATGAAAGTTTTCTTTCTTTAGATTAATTTCCTTCAATTCTGCAGATATCAGGTCTTGTGATTTACAGTCTGTCCATTTATGGTGATGCAGTTGTCAATAGCAATAGTCCTGCCACTTTTCCTCATATTTGTGTCAGGTCAGAAGCTCAGATCTGCCACACTTGACTGGGTTAAAATCGTACCAGCACCAAAGGACCTGCTTAGGTTTCATGAACTGGCAGGACACACATGTCCACGTGTGTGTATACCAGCACCAAAGGAGAGCGTTGTTTTGACCTGCTTAGGTTTCATGAACTGGCAGGACACACATGTCCACGTGTGTGTTTATAAAAGTGTAAAAATGTTAGTATATCAGTGAGAATAAACTGGTGAGGTAGATCAGAACAATTCTCAATAGCAGTATCAACTTTGTGTGAAACTAACTTAAGCGTTTGTATGACCTTTATTTCTTGTTAGAGTTGGTTGGGGAAACCTAAAGAAACCTAAAAGAAGCTTGTAGGGCTTCTGAAACTGTCTAAAAGGCCAGATATTTAAATTAAATGGATCTTGTAACAAGGAAGGCCATTTAAGGACCTTAATGTTGAAGTTCGCATTTCTGTCACGATAGATTTTTGTTACTCGTTGGGGCTTGCATGCATTTAAGGTGAGGCATGGCAGGGAGAGTAACATCAGAAACTGTCACCGTGCTGTCTTGTCACGGTGCTGTAAATGTGGGCTCCCATAAGGAGAGAGCCCTGAAGGCGCAAGTCTGCAGCACTTCCGCATTGTTTCATTTGATGGTTTCAAGAAATGAGCAGAATAGCTACAATAAAGAGGCTGCAGAAAGATGGGTAAAAAAATGAAGATGGAAAGATTAATTTTCTGGGAAGCTAAGGAGCAGATCACTGGCCTCTGGTCACAAACGACTATTTAACTGGTTTGAGAGATTTGTGTGGCTCTGCAGTGTTCATTCCAATCCAGGGTCTAATTAATTAAAATGCCTGAACTTCATTCAGAGAACAAGCTTTTTCAGAAATGAACCTTTTCTGTTGGAGTTTGGAATAATACATGTAATTACTTGTGTCTAAATTGTGTGAAAATTAATAATCATCTAAGTAAAATGTTCTCAGAGTTGGTGAGAATTGTAGGTTGATGCTCATGAATGCTCATTTTAATTATTTGATACCTGTCTTAGGTGGTAAAGAGGTACAAACCTTATTCTTGCAGCTTTCCTGTAAAGTAGGTCCAATATCTTTGTGACCCCAAGGGAAATGTATGAGTTTAAGTCTATTCTTAGATAAATTTCTAAAACAGACCTATCAACATGCAGGTAGAATATACAAGATTATATATGAGTACCTAATTGTTTTATCGCTGGCTACTTAACTTGTGGCAACTTTTTCTATTTTTAAAAACGTGCAGGTTTCTCAGGACCATGAAACTATGGCTCAAGTTCTTTTCAGCAGGAATCTGAGACTGAACGTAGCTTTAACCTTTTGGAGAAGGAGAAGTATAAGTGAACTGGTAGCCTACTTAGTGAGGTAAAACAAGTCTCTTCTTTTATATCCTAAAAATGACAGCAATCTCAAATATGCCACAGTATTTTGAGCAATTCTGTAAGTGTTGTGACTTAGCTACACTTTTAAAATCATAGTGGAAGCATATACCTCTGCTACTGGTAGTAGGATCTACAAGTAACACTTCTGATTTTATTCTTAATGTTTCTAGGATACAGGATCTTGGAGTAGTAGTAGACTGCCTTCCTGTGCTTACGAACAGGTACAAACAGAAAAAAGTGGGGGGTTTGAACCTGCTTATAACCACACTGAAGTTCAAGCACTTCTGAAACATCTTGTTTTTAAGTTTACAGGAAGAAAAACCATATGTTTCAGTTGGCTGCTGTGTAGATCTTTTGCCTTTAGTGAAATCTCTGCTTAAAAGCAAATATGAAGAGTAAGTATCAGCTTGGGATGTTTTTGAAACGTTATTACTTCCTGGCTATGCAGAGACTTCCTGGCTATGCAGAGCCCTGGAAATCAATGGTTTTTAATCCTCTGACTTTTTTTCCCTCTGTCCCTTCTCCCAGCTCTGCCTTTCTCAGGAAATGAGAAAGTTCTGGAATGGAAGCTTTCTGAACCTTTATCCTTTAACAAAGCAACAGTGCAGAAATTCTTTCCTGCAATGTTAGGGACGTGGGGGAGAGGACTGGCTTTGCCCTTATGCAGATTTATTTATCCTAAACAGTAAAAAAGAATAGCACTGAGATTTTAGTATGCTTTATAACATGTAATCAAGGCAGAGTTTTCTTCTACTTTTTCAACAAGAACTTCAGGCAACCACTTAGAAATTGCAAGTGTAAGCAAGTATTTAAATGTACCAATTTGTCTAGATTTTTTTTCTTCCAGAATAGAAAATGTGTTGCTTTCTAAATTGCTTACAAAGTTATCTCAGTCTTTATTTATCTGGCCTGTAGATAATCTGCAGGGAGGGAAATGCATAATGTGTCAAATGTGTTGTTACAGATATGTGATAGTGGGTTTAAACTGGCTTCAGGCTGTCATTAAAAGATGGTGGTCAGAACTATCTGCACATACAGAAAAGGCAGAAGATGGGTGAGTATAATCTTGGGAAATACTGAAATGTGTTTCTGTAGTCTCTTGTAATTTTGATCAGTAGGAGCACAGCTTGCCTACAAAAGGCAAACTTAAAATTTTGAAGTTAAAGCTTAAAAGTAGTTTAAGGATAGTTAAGTTACTGACTTTTTCTCTTTTTTGCTACTGTTTTAATACATGTAGGCTGTAGTCATATCAAGGATTATACCAATGCTGTAGAAGTTGAATCAAAATTTTTCAGACCTTGTGGCAATATCTATTTATAGGCTAAGTCTATATGCAGTATTAATAATTAATTTTAGTAAAAGAGACTACTGAAATGTACTACCTATGTTATAAAGTGATGTTCATTCTCTTTTAGAAACATTCATATTTTAAAACAACATCTAAGTGTTTTGTGGGAACAGGAGAATCATCTTACTCTGGTTCCAGGATATACTGGTAATATAGCTAAGGTAAGTTCTGGTCCCAGTTCAGTGTTCAGTAATAAACATGGTTGTATCATTTATGGCATTCCTCCTGTTTTACTTATGCTAAACTGTGGTTGGACAGAAACACTTCTACTTTAGTTACTGCTAATGCTCAAGTGTATTGCATGGTTTTTACAGAAATCTGGAGTTGTTTCGCTATGATAGTTCTGTGAATTAAAATGGTAATTATCCTAAGCGTCTCCTTAATAACAAAGTAGCTAATAGTAATGAGCCTTAAAATGGATGTGAAAAAGGGCTCAGTTGAGTAGGTAGACAGATGTTTTCTCTTAGATCTCTTGTCCCCATTGTTGTAAGTATAATGGAGAATCTTAGCCCAGGAATGTCATTGGCATTTGCACATCAGGTGATGGGGCAAGTGACAACATACTAAATTCTGAAGCTTATTGCTGACCTAGTGCTTAGAAAATGGTGAGTTTGTGCTGAGCAGAAGAGCCTGTCTATCTGAGATTAATATCTTCTTGCATTTTTAGGTAGGTTGTGGTATCAGTAACATAATGAGGGTGTCTGGTAGATCCATGTTTTGCTCTTTGTGCTCATCTCTATAAACATGGCTTTCTGAGATTGGGCACCAAAAGTTATGCTAGATAGAAACCTCTCCAGGTGGAGGGACCTGATGAAGGTGGACAGTGAGAAAGGAGTTTCAGCAGGCAGTTGGTTGTGTGCAGGATTTGAGTGAACTTGAAAGGAACTTAAAAATTGCATCTTTCACTTATATCTTAAGGAGTTTTGGTGAAATTATAATTCTGTACCTACAGAATTGATTACTTTGATGTGTCAAACAAGTAAACTCTTTCCTTTTCTTCTGGACTGCTGTGCACCTGGGACTTCAGTTTTGATGTCCCTACAAGGATAATTACAAAATTCTTGCAGCATTTCAGTCAACAGGGATGCAGAAGAACTGAGTTCTGACTCCCAACGTGGTAGAGCTATGACAGCACGTAATGTAGACTGCCTAGTTCTTTTGCTGGATCAGAGTAGCAGCTGTAGGTAGTGTCAGTTTGTTTTTCTAGAGTTCAGGTTCCCTTTATGTTCATTTACTGTCTTCTTAATGTGTATCAGGATAGATTGTGACCAAAGTCACCTGAGCAAGTCAGAGCAAAAGTAGTGCAAGAATGTTGGAGGGGTTGGGTGAAGGAATGTCATACATAACCTGTTTTAATTACATGATCATATGATGATGATGATCTTTCCTGCTCATGCAGGGAGCAAAGGAATAACAGATAAAATTGATAGCTTTGAAAACTAATCCTACTCTTCTGGCATGCTTTTTAGTACATAAAGAAATGTCATTGAAAACATTAATTGAAAGTAATCATGAAGATAACTGGTTCTGAAATTTGGGCAAATATAATTATTCTTGTGCTATGGTCCTGAGGTTGCCCTGCTTCAGACATAGAGTTGGTGTTAGAGCTATAAATAATGTGACAAACACTTTCTCCTTTTTTTCCTTCTAGGATGTAAATGCTTATTTATTGCAGCTACACTGACATGATGGGGGAACAGTGTGCTTATGTGGTGAAACAATCCCCTAAAGTATCCCTGAAATATGTGCTGAAAGCCTTTTGAGAAATACTGGCAGAAGAGAACTGAACTGTCAAGCTGTTTAATGAAACCACTAACAAAACCCTAACCATCTACTTCACATTGAAGTGGAAAAATGTCTAGTAGGAGCAACTTTTACTTCAGTGAGGTGAAAGTGCACTATGAAAACTGTATGCCTTTGCTGCATTTGGGATTCGCTCAGTTACTAGGTATTCCTTTAAATGCTACTGTACCTTACAACATCATCGCATAAAAGAAGATGAACTATACTGTCATGAAGACAAGACTGCAGAACCAGTTATAAGGAACCAACAAAAACAATCAGCATTAAGAGCTTTTAAATGTCTCTTTCACAAGAGAACTCCCAAAATGCACAACTAGCTTCCAATTACATAAAAAAATACAAAAAACTTTGGGATATTCATTTACTTCTATGTTTTAATCAAATTATTAAAGACAGTTTTTGTTTGCACTATTGAGAAAATATACAGCAAAGATGCCTTAATTACTAGTGTTTCAAAAAGCCTATGTGTTAAGATACAAATAGCTATTATGTTCAGATTGTGATGGAAAACTACAAAAATCAGGGTTTCACATTGTGTAGTTAATGAAATATTGCACATATACAAAGATTCATGTATGAAAAATATTATAAATACCTGAAGTTAAGCTTGGGTAAACAGTTATTGCAAATGTCAGCAGAATGGTGAATTTATGTCTAACAAATGTTTTTATATTGTATGTGGATTTCTAACACAGTAATCTTGTTCTGTATCATTCAAACTACATGCAAATAAGTAAATATATTAAATATATCTACTGTTTTTTCTTTTCAAGTTCAAAAAAATCAATTTCTAGAATAATCTCTTCTGCAGTACTTTTTATCATAGATATTTAAATCTCTTGTTTGAAATGTTTACAGCCAGATGAGGCCATGTTATTCAAATCACACCCTTTTTATACTACCTCCTTTAAGAAACTGACAAAGAACTTTTGCAAAATTGATTAAGTTCTAACCTGATCAATGATGGCAAAGTCATACCAACAACAGCATTGAAAATACAGCTATAAACTTACTGTCATATTGATAATGCTGTTTTATTTTAATTTAAAAGCTATATCTTAATAGCTCTGAGGGAGTCTTAATCTTAGGCTTGCTGTTGCCTTTTTTAATGTTGTGATTAGGAAGCATGCTTTTTCATTTAAAACTTACAAAGTGCCAGCTCTTCACTTAAAAGTATACATGCGCAGCATGTATGACCAAATAGACTACTTCCTTAAAAATAAATACTTGCAAGGGTTGTTTTCATACCTAGCATTAAGCATGTGCACTTTTATTGACATGCAGGAGAAAAGTCTTTTGATAGCCACAAGAGGTTTTTGCTTTACAGATTAAATAAATTAATTTTAAACTCCTGTAGTGATCAATAACTTCAGGCCTCCTGTTGCTTAGTATTGTATTTAGTTTATGTATCGTTGTTGCTGACTTCTGAAGGCCAACTAGAAATCTGTCATGAGAACTTGGTGCTTTTAGTTGTTTGACTGTTCTGTAAACCACCAAAGGTTTTGCATTTCCTAGGGCAGTCAGTTACAAAGAGTTTCTGGGGCATCCCAAAACTGCAAACTTTGTGGGACAATTTGGAGACATACACATAGCCAGTCTTTTTGCTGGAATTGTTATGTATCATTAGAGATAATTCATGTTCAAAAAGTTTTGAGATAGGACTTTTCGAATGTTCTTACTATCAATTAAAAATCTAAAGGAACTATAGTATGACAACATTCTTGTATTACTTTACTGTTCCATTGAGCACTTAAATGTAAAAGTAACAAAGTCTAGTTTCATCATTTGGGTGGCAGTTGCTGAAACTCTTAGATTATTCCTCAAGGACAATACCGTTTATGGAAACTCAGATTTTTTTATTTTTTTTTAATAGACAGAGTAACTCATGGCCATTTATTTCTGATCATATAAGAAAGTATAGTTGTAATTGATTAAAGGGATACTCTAGTATTTAAAAATCTAGCTTGAATGTAGATTTAGATACATGGGCTTATAATGAATTCTGTATGTGGCCATAGAGTTACCAAATCCTAACTGTGGACAGTGCTTTTGTTTTAGAGGTGAGGTAAGATTGATTTGAGGATCATTACTGAGGAATACCTAATAAAATAATACATTCTTTTTAACTGCCAAAAGTTGTATTTTGACAGCATCAATAATACAGTATTAAACATTGTCATTAGTATCTGTGCCTTATTTTAAATGAATTTTTTACTGTTTTCAGGCAGCTACTAGACTGTAAGAACAGGATTCAGGTGTCTATATTATGAAATTCTTTTTTCCATCATGTTCTTAATTCATTGAAACTATTCGCACTAATATTCAGGCTCAGCTTCTTGTATTGTTTTTAGTTCTCAAATGGCTAGGAATCAGTTTTACTGTTACAGAAAGTACATGTATAATATCTGGTCAAAGTTGGCATGAGTTAAATGTCTTAACAGCTGTGTAACTCTGCTAAATTCATATAGTTGTTTCAGTGAATCTAAGAATTAAGTTTATGAGCTATCCCATGCATAAATGATAATCTTTGTGATGCTTTCTAAAAATGCTATTTCTAGGATGTGTCAGAAGATCCAGACAGAATTAATCCTTTTCCTGTGTGTTCTTGTGATGCAGAAGCACGTATGTACTTGAGGATGAAGGATGCCTCCACAAAGCTGTTCTTCATGTTATTCCACTTGATATGAAACTTTGAAAAACACTTATGTCTTTTGCCTCGGTTCCCTGAAAGTACTTGAGGCTGTTTTGCTGAAGGAGTACTTTTAAGTGTGACCTGGGATTTGCCCATCCCCTAAACTGAAATTAAAGAATCCTTCTGGCAAACTGTCTCTTTCTGCAGGGCTGAAAAAAAAGTCCAGTATTTTGTAAATGGAAGTGGCCAAGTTGAGGTATTACTGATAGCTTTTTCCACCTCCACTCTTCAGCAAGCTATGCCATTAATTAGCTGAGTGTGAAGAAGTTAGCATGTCTTAATGATTATGTATGTTTCTGTTTTGAAGGAACTATGCCTATTTCTCAGGAAAGAGTCTTCTACTCTTGGATCACACAGGTACTGCAGTTCCACACTCCTTAATAGTGCTTGCAGATTGTTGCTGGCATTAAAAAAAAAAAAATAGCAGCAGCCCTTCAAGAGCTTACCCTCTGTAGTGAGATATAATATTTTTTTTTTTTGCCCTCCTGTAGATTGCTTTATCAGAGGTTGCAGTTTTAACACTTGAGGTGCAGGAGGGATGGGAGAGTAGGAAAGGGCAAAGTATACATGCCCTGTGCTGAGTGACATCAGCCCCACTGCGTTATAAAGCAGGCTGTATTTTCATTTTCTGGCATCTGAAGTAGGCAAATTTGGAGTTACACATCTTTATGCATTTAGCATTGAAGAGATAAAGGTTTTGCAGACGGATGCTACAGTGTTAATTTGTGATTTTTTTGGGTTTTTTTTTCTTGAAAGAGTGGACATTCTTAATATGGAAACTGGAAAGTATCTTATGTGACGCTTACATTTTAGACTGGCAAGTGGTTGCTTTTGCCAGTTCATCTTGCCAGATCTTCCAGTTCTACAGAAGACTGAATGTCTGTCTTAGTGTGGAGATTTGCAGCTATTTTTGTGCCTAGTTTTCTAGTGCAAAGTGAAACTAATCAACTGTTTCAGAATACAAAACCATGCAAATTATGGTACTGGTGTGACGTTATTCCAGCTTTGCACAATGCAAATGCTAAAGTTCATGAAAGCAGTCAATTCTTTTGAGAGGAACTTTATATTGAGCTGATGTTGCATTAGTGAAGGAAAAAAATGCAGCAGTTTTTAATAGCCTTGGTAAAAGCCAGACAGTGTAGTCTAATTTTTGCCTTCAGTCTGCCATCCTACACACAGTAATCATTGTAGGCTACAGATAAGGATTCACAGAGAAAATAGATTGAGCATGCTTCTGTTATTAGTGCTTTATGTTATCCTTCTTTAAACAATTAATGTTTATTCTAAGAGTTAAATAACTTGTTTATGTCTCGGAATGAGACTAAATGCAACTATTTTTCTCCCCCTTTCCACATATATTCTTTAGGACTTAATGATTTTATTTATTTCTCATCTACTTTAAATATACTGAGAGTGTGTCTTGATAGAAGTGAGGAGGGGAAGATGAGAATTATAGACAAAACACAGGGCTAGCTATTTAACATGGTTCAGTTTGAAGCAACTGTGAAGAATTTCCATCTTTAAAACTTTTCACACAAATTTTGTTAATACCTACAAATTGAAGTGTGCACTCACAGCTCTAAGTTTGATTTTGAACTTGGTTGGAAAAAAATAAAGTGCTTTCATTCTAAATAAATGTAGCTGCAGTATTGTTTCTGTTCTTGTTTTTTGCATTGAGTACTAAGCTGGACTCAGATGCTAACCTGCCATAAGGGAGGCAGGAGGTGTAGCACTGTCCCTTAAAGGGATAAAATGGAAATATCCACCTAGTCTTCAACTATTGCAAACCTCAAATATTTTTGTTTCTGACAGGAGTTTTGTAGTATGTCTCTTTATGTAGATTGTGGCTGCTGATCATTGCTGTAAAATGAGATCCGCTATTTTCAGCTTGAATGTTTTCCATAGTGGTTGCGATTCATTGGGATCACTGCTTCAATTCAGGCAGTCATTACTTTGAATGCTGTAGCATAGATGGGCAACTGAATGTTGGGGTCTCAGACGTCTGTTCTTTGCTGTAACAAAACACAAGGACACCACATTTATTTTTCCCACCTTTTTATTCTCCCCTTATTCTTTCATTTAAGTGCTTAGAACCATTTGAATCCTCTTTGGAAAGTGATAGATGCCAAAGTGTGATAAAATGCTTTTACAAACATGCTTCTGACTTCTTTTAATACCGTTCTGTGAATGACAGTTTCCTGTATTTGGGAAGGAGGCTGTTTTCTGTATGTATAGGCTTGAAATAAACAGAACTAGTGGACTTTACTGATACTGTAATTGTATTCTTGATACTTTCTTTTTTACATAAGCACCATGTATATTGTGAAACAATGAACCCAAATCTAAATATCAAGATAAAGTTCCATTCCAAAACTGCCTGCTCTTACAGGTGTAAGTGTTGAAATATATATGCATCGTAGTATCATACTTTAAAGTTACCTGTAGACAGGTTATAATAGCTCTTGTAATTTATGATGTCTCTTTGTCAAATTGAATCTGTTGAACTTCACTTTCAAAAAGCCCAAATTTTGTTTGGATCTTGCAGTTGCCGCTTCTACTCATTTCAAATATTCTATGGATTTAAAGAGTTAGTGCAGTAAGTATTCCACCTTCAGAAAAATAGCTGATCTTTTTGTCTTTTGTGATAACAGGCTTTGATTACATCTCTTCTGCATGAGACAAAGTTCTTTTCTGCAAGATTTAAATAATTTTTAGGAGGGTTTTGGAGGAGGGTTGCCACATACAAGAAATCTATGGCATGTTTGGTTCTAAATGGGGGAATTGCACAAATACAGGCAGCTGTTAGGACAGTGCACATTTTATTACTATTGAGTTGTCTTTTCTCATGTGTATCAGCTGTCCTGTTATCTACTTAGTCTAGATAAAAATGGAATGATGGATTATTGGGGAGTTGAAGTCTTAATAGCTCTTGGCTCTAAGAAGCTAAAACTGCTCATTCCATTCTGATGAAATTGCTACAATGAATGAGGAAAGGAGCTATTTGTTGTGTGTTTGGTTTGGAGAGCAGGAATCTCTTAATTCTTTGTGTCTGCTAGTAGTACTTTGTCTTGAAACTTAAAGGCATAAGCATTTATGTATGCTTAAAATCTTCGTTATTAAAATAACAAGTTTGAATGAACAGGAAGAAAAAAACAACCTTGCTGCATTTGTTAATTTCTGCATGTAACACCTGGATGTTCTGGATGGAACACCTTGTGTTCCAGCTGCAGGAAACAGTAAATATACAAAAGTGCAGTTAACCATCATGGTACAAGTAGTGATAAAACTTGATTTTCAACATTGTAAGGTTTAGGCTATTACTAGTGAAGCAGTAAAGCGAAGCAGGACTAAAGAAATAGGTGGCAAGTTTTGTTCTGAGACTTGTGTTTTGGTAAGTCTGAAAAGCTTGACTTTCTAATCAGCCAAAATGAGTGGTGATCGATGGGAGTGTTAATTCTGGAATAATTCTGTGCCAGAAGCCAGCATTAGCATAAGAATAAGCAGAGTAGCTGGTTGTAAAGTGAACCCTGCTCACCAGATCAACTGTCTCTTCACATCAATTTTCTTAGAACCTTTTGCCTTTTTTTTCTTTTTCTTTTTTTTTTTTTTGTTTTTTTTAAGATGTTATAGTTCAGGTGTTTTTGGATAAAGAGAGCAAGCAGGAAGTTTTCGAAATCTGTTAGTTGGATGATGGGGTAGTACTGCAAGAGGTACCTCTAAAAATACTATCCTGTGAGTGGTGGCATCAGTAATCATTACAGGAGGTGGAGGGCTTGAACACAGGCACACTCTAATCAGAACTGGCCAATGTGTGCTGTCCTCGGTGTCAGTGTAGTGAATTGCATAAAACTGGGGAAGGACGAGTGTTTAAGATTCAGTACAAAAATTCCCATTACCTCAAAAGGGTGCCTGTGATTGTTGGGAGATTGGGGCATGATGATAACTGAGTCTTTCCAGTCCTGTGTGCCTAATCCACAGCAGTGAGGCACTTCACAAAGGAGGGCTGGAGACCTGATGCTCACAGAGCAGTAATCTTTCCTCACAGTTGCTGCTTTTCCACCCCTCTGACATGTTGGGGCACATCTCCTTGGCTGAATTTCCAGCTTCACATCCTTGTCACTTATCCAAGTGAGAATAAAATGCCTTCATATTTGGCACACCTAGTTTCCCAAGTGATGTCTTGTCCCTCAGGTCTTCCAGGTTCTCACTACAAAACAACTTAATGCCATTGAACTGTGAAAACTCAGAGGGTTGGGCTTGAGCCTACACACAGCAACTGTGGAGGCCACTGTGATATTGAAAATGAAGCTGTTGTATTAAAAGGGTTTGTTTGTGTATAAATGTTTTTTAAACATGAATGCCCTACCAGTATTCTACTGGCTGTTAATTAAAAATGCCTACAGTTGTGAACCTTTGCAAATGGCAGGTTGGTGACTGGTTAGGGAGAAATCCTGCTGCTTAGGGGTGAGTGGTTAGCTGGTTTGGGTTTGGGTTGGGGATTTTTTTCTATTCACCCATCTTGCCACCCCCTCTGAGTGCAGTTTTTTTAAATGTCCTGGTGCCAATTTGAATTTTCATTTTTACAAGCTTATGTCTTTCATGGTTTTCTGACCACACAAAATAATCAGGATGTTGGGTAGAGTGAGGATGTGTTATGTTCACAAAATGCTGTATAAGCATGTTTGCATTCATTTCTGTGCAGAAGTATAATTTTTCCCTTTCCTCTGCACTCCAATACATTTATGTTTCTAGTGGTGGCACGTCCCTTAAACATCTCTAAAGGGGTTCTTTCCACCTCTCAGTTCTTGATTCAAAAAGCAGATTAATTGCTTTCCAGATGAACAGAGAAGGGTGCTACTAAAGCTAAAAACCAGAAAGGGTGGGTGGACAGACCCAACAAAAACCACCAAACCACAAACAGCAATTCAAAACTCAACCCAAACCAAAAAATTAGAATTCACTTGTCTCTAGCATAAAGTAGTGCTGCAGCCAAATGACAACAAATGCTGCCCTCCATTTTCCATTAAAAAGAGCATGTAATAATGCTTTTCTGAGCAAGGAGTCTCTGACATTACAAACTGTTTGGGATTTTTAGGGGTAGTGCACTGTGATTTAGTTTACTTTCTAAGTGAATATTTGGTTTGTGACCTCAGCCACCTTACTCTGAAGGGCTGTAAATAAGAGGAGAACGCCCTTGGAGCTTTTCTTCACAACTGGCAGCTTGCTAACTTCAGCTTTTACCTTAGGGACTAGCGAGGCGTATTTCAGCATTTCTGTTTGTGAGATTTGGCATACACACTTCTGATGCTGCTTTCTTACTTGATAGTTCTCTCTGAGCTCTGGAAAATGAGCATTTAGCCTCTGGTTGATTCCTTTAAGTTTGGTTTGGTTGAAACAGTTCTGATGTCAAGGATTCTGCTTATGTGAAAGGAACGGTAAGACCTCTCTTCCTTTGTAAACTCACCAAATCTAAATCTTGATTGTAATAGGCTTCTGTATTGAGAAATCATTAATTTATAGACCTTAGTATCCTCATTAATACTTTTTTTCTGACAAAATTGATTTATCTGTGGTTCCTTTGTGGTATTTACTCACATATAAGATACTTACTAAGATATTTTTCCTACTTTATAGAGCAGTTTCTACCCATTCGCCCTAAGGTATGTCTCCAAGATATTGCTGTCCATGTGTTTCTGGTTTAGCATAATTGTCTCATTTTCCAGGCATTTATATGAGGTTGTCTTTTGGCTAGGAAATGTATCCAGAGCTTGAACTGATTTTAATAGTCCAAAATAATATCTTCACTGTGTTTAGGAGCAGTACAGTTTTTGATGAAAATATCATTTGTGCTGGCTTTACAGCAACATAATTGAATTTTATGGTCTCAACACTGAGAGACTCAAGTGAGAGGAAGAACTAATTTCAGTCAGATGGCTCCAGTAAGCCCTACCTTTTGTTCCCACATCTGGTAGTGAAATAAAAGGAAGATAAGCAGCAGTTACTGATTTAAGGATGGGTTGAATCCAGCCTCAGTCACAGCTACTCTCTCATATGTATGGCTGCTTCTCCTCATGGCAGTGCCAGCAGTCAGCTCTGCAGAGCTCTGTGTGTGGGGCAGCTGCAACACTGCTCTGTGATCTGCTTTGTGAGCTTCAGACACAGCATCACCTCTGCTAAGAGACCCTTTTGGTGAACCCTTTGTAGGATTCTTTCCTAGCTGAACTGCCCTTAGAAGATGTTCCAAGCTCTCATCTAAAGTTGTGTTGATAATTCAATTATAAAAGAACCTGGTTTTCTTTTCTCTATGTGCCTGTTCTAGGTTAAGATGTGACTGTGCTTTGCATGCAAGGAGAATCTTCTAATTTTAAATGCACAAGCTCAGAGTTTCTAATCTCCCTATGTTTTGTCTGCCACAGAGACTGTCCAGCCAGATACTGGGCTGTGTAAAAGCCTGCAGTGGAACTTGCTGGTGGTTCACCTGAGCTCAAGCTCTCTGTGGCCTTGCTGAAGAATGCTCCTCTTCCAGGTAGCTACACTGCAGCCTTTAGGAGGTCCGGTTGCTTTTTCACTGAGCATCACACTATCTCATTCACAAAGGAAAATCACATAAAATAACATCCTCACTTTCAGAGATGAGCAGAGTGGTGGTTTTGATTTAGATTGTTTGTTTCTTTTCTAGACAAGTATTACCTGGGATCTCAGTGCAATGTATATTTTTGTGAAGAGTTTATGCACTGTTTCTTCCCTTCTCTCTCCCACCCACCAGTCCCCACAACTTCTGCATGAAAACAAAGCAGTCCTGGCAATTACTTGAATTTGTTTCCTCCTCCTAATATTTGGACATGTCAGTATCTAAAAACATACCTCTGCACTTGCAAGAAGTAATTCTAAACTAGACAGCACAGTCTCTGTCAGCTGAAATGAACACCAGTTGTAAGATGCTTTGCTGAATTCTTCAGGCTTGCAGGAGACAGGAAAAGTTGTAAATTAAATCCTGCAACAGTCTTTCAGTAGATCATAGTTACTTTATTTGCCTAAAATAAGAATCTAAAAGCAAAGCACAAAGTTAAATTCAGGACTTTTGCTATCTGTGGCAAAGCTACAACTTCCAGTGAGCCCTGGATTTTACCAGCCATAATACAGAGCTTCCCAGAGGAGCCTGCTGTCAAATATATTTACAGTACATTTACAAATAATGAAAACAAGTAGCTAGAGGAAAGAAAAGTCATTGCAAGGTCACTTATGCTGTTATTTTCTTCCAAAAATGTATGAGAAATAGAAAAAATGAGCCATTTTTATTTAGCTCAAAAAATGGAGAAAGGAGACATAGGCCTCCGAACCCATGAATCATGGCAAGTACAAAACTTCATGCTGCAATTGGAAAGACCTTTTATGATAATGCTAGTATTATAAATCTAAAAATTATTTCATTTAACCCCACAGGGCTTATTTGAGAATTGGCAAATCCTGCATCAGGCTAAGTTATTAAAGTTTAAAAAATAGGTATTAATATAATACAGATGGAACCACTGTACTCACATAGGACTCTTACTTACCTCTGGTCTGAGGCTGACATAGATACATTTGAGTCAAACAGGAACTACTACTTATTACAAAGCTGTTAATCATGTAGCCTTAATGAAGCTGTTTAGCACACTGAATAGCAATGTAACAACGCATAGAAAATTAGCTTGTTTGCCATTGATTAATGATAGATAATGTGTGCAGTTCCCCACAGTGGGACATTTGAGCAGTTTTCCGTCATGTACAAACTCAGGTTCATTAAGGCATGTCTTTACTTGCACAGTCTGATTCAGCATAAAAACCCACACAAACAGGAATGCACTTTAAAGATAAAAACAAGATTCATATTTAGCTTACTGAAAGTGTAATGGAGGTGTAATGAACCTCCAAATTATTTCATTCAGATAAACAAGACAAAGATGAAAGGACTTATTTCAACAATAGCTTGAAAAGAGTTACAGGAGAATTACAGATCAATACATTGAAAGAGGACAGTAGGAAAAAGTTACCAACAGTTATTCTTCTAAGTGTTGAATTTCAAAGAAATAGCAACTTGGTAAACTTGTTTAGGTATCAGCTGTGTGCGTGTAGGGTTATGTATCTCAAATGCCAGCTTTGTACAGAAAAGGTGCGTACAAATGAACTTAAAACCAAGGAGAGTTACAGTTCTCAGCTTCTCAAAAATGGACAGATTTTGTTTAAAATAAAAAGGTTTCAACAGGTACTGCTGAAGATTGACTTCAGTTCAGAGCAACTGTCATTTTCTCTGTAAATGAGAAAAGGAGTTTAAGACCCAGCTTTGTTCCTTTTGCTTTGTCAAATATTGTGAGCTCACAGGTTTTACTACTTTTCATATTTAGTTTGAGTCTAGATTAGCTAATAGTACACACTGTAATAGCTTTTGTTAACATTTTTAATACACCAAAGAAAATGTTTATCGTCAGAAATTGCTACTCCAATTCCACTTGCAGTGTTATACTTTTTAATTCCACTAAAAATTGTGTAAAATAAAGCCCCCTTACCCCCCCCCCCCCCCAAAAAAAAAAAAAAAACAGTAAATTAAAATTAACAGTAAATTAAATGGTGCAAACCAATGTTTAGTGGGATTTTTCATTCACGTCCTTGAAAACCAGCATCAGCTTTCTGATAGGCCAGAAATAGTTCAACTTCCAGCCAGGAAGAGGATCTCTGCTGCTTTTGGCCTTTTCTTTCTTCAGCTCCTCCTAGCACAGAAGTAACAGTAGCATAATTTAGGTAACTGCTTAATGCTGTCTGAATTACTGCAGCCCTTCACATGTCAGATGCAGGATTTCCCAGACTCTCTGCAGGGCAGACAATTTCTAGACCTGCTCTGTGAGCGTGTCACACACTTGATTCCTGAACAAGCTTCTCTCTGGTAGAACATCCTATGAAAGTGCTTGCAGCTTCTTTGTGTTGCTCTGACCTCCTGTCATATATGAGCCAATTCTACACAGCACCTAGGCTGCTTGAGCCTGAAATACAAAGAGAAGAATGTCATTTTGTGGTGGTCTGTTACGAACACTGCAGTAAAGCAAAAGCATGCTTTGGTATGTCATTCTCTGGAGGGTGTGATGATAATGTTGTATTATGTGGAGGCCACCTTGTGGCATTGTGGAAGCAAAACCCAAATGTAAAGAAACAACGGCATTTGGCCTGCATACCAAGAAATAAAGATTCTAAACTGCTTTTATTTTTAGAACCCAAACATCACACTGATGTGTCATTCTAGCCTCATGTGAATGATTACAGGTGCTGTTCATACAAGTAACAACACAGGAATCTGAGGACGTGTGTAGCACCATTCTGTGGGTCATAGCTTCTTACCTAGTCAGCTTAATGAATGCTGCAATTATTAATGCTTCTGCTTGCATGGTTAATGCACAATTGCTGCTTGACAGAAATATAGGGGCAAATTTTTACTGAGAACAGGGGGAGACAACAGTGCAATCAAAGCACTGTAAAACTGACTTCCAGGTTACCATCGTGTTGCATATTTGTTCTGCTTGTGTGAGGGAGTCTGGAAATTTTTACAGCAGGAAAATTATGCTTCTTTTCCCTGCACTTAAACTATTATTTAAATTTCCTCCACCAAAGAATGAATTTGAATTTAGTAAAGGTGAGTTCAGTTGCCCATCATCTTGGAATTTCAATATCAGTGTTTGCTATCTCCTAGGATAAGTGTGCCAAAATAGAGTATCCTGTTCATGGTTTTGGACATACATTATAAGAAGATGAAAACAGTTCATTCCTGAAAAAAAAATTCCTGAAGAAGTTTGTCCAGTCAGCTTGAGGTGAAAGCAGCCAAGGGAGTCCCTATTCCCTAACATTTTCCTGAATATTATCTCTGTGAGACAGGAAAGTCCTCAATCTTACATGCTGACTCCATGCTGTGGAGGTGGACGTGTTGGAGATGCAGGAATTATTCTGACAACTGCAGAGTTTGCAGGGGATTAAGAGATTTTCTTCCCCAACATAGAATCATTTGGATTGCCAAAGACATCTTAGGTCATCGAGTCCAACCAGTAACCTGACACTGCCAAGTCCACCACTAAACCATATCCCTAAGCATCGCATCTCCCTGTCATTTAAATACTTCCAGGAATGGGGACTTCACCACTTCCCTGAGCAGCCTGTTCCCGTGCTTGACAATGCTTTTGATTAATAAGTTTTTCCTAGTGCCCTAATGCCCCTCCCCTGGTACAATTTGAGGCCATTTCCTCCTGCCACTGGTTACTTGGTTGAAAAGGCTCATCACCACATTGCTGCAACTTCTTTTCAGGTAGTTTTAGAGAACAATAAGGTCTCCCCTGAGCCTCCTTTTCTCCAGGCTAAAAACCCAGCTTCCTCAGCTGCTTCTTATGAGAGTTGTGCTTCAGACCTTTCATCAGCTTCATCGCTGTTCTTTGAATGGGCAATCTGTTAGAAGCAGACTGGGATTCTGGAGCAACCGAAGATGGCCTGTGCACTTTCTTTCCCAAGGCAGAGACCCTCTCAGGGCATCTTACAAAGGAACAAGAAGACTGTTGCTGAACTCAGGCTGTAATCCCGACTTTTCTGTCCCGTGTTACCATTTCTAGTGTAGCACAGTAAATTGCCAGTAGATGGCACACCACAGTAATTTTTTTTTTAATGGTGCTGAAAGAACTATGCAGCACAATTTCTGTTAATTTTGTGCTTAATCATAGTAAAGCTCCTTGGGTAGGAGAGAGCTCAGTACATGAGTTACCTGGCTGTGGCCTTTCACAGTACCTTTATGCTGAACTTTCCATCTATCTTCAGTTTGTGCATTTTCATAAATCTGCTCACTTGGCTTTGCATTTTGATTTCTCCTCACCTCTAATTAGTTTACCAGAAACCAAATAGGATGTAGCTATGAGTATTCCAATGCACATGTAGCTCTTATTTATTCTTTGTGTCAGCAAGGATTACATCTTTGCTTCCACCGAACATTTGTGAACCAGCATTACTCATCTGGTGTGTTGAGTGTTGTTATCTGTGTACCTATATCCGGGGACTGACTCAAAGATTAGGGTAAGATTAGAAGCAGATGGCTGAAGGTGCTCCCTGCCTGTCTGGTCAAAGTCACCACCTCTGCATATTCAGCCTGAGTCACACACAAAAGAGATTTTGGACTCCTGCTCTTTGTGGTCCAGTATTTGTCTGGTGTATTACAGTAACCCAGTGTCAATGACAAATCATTGTCATTTTCCAAAGCAAATATTTAAATACTAGCCAAGGTACTACTATTAGCTTTATGGAAAGAGAAGCTTTCAGAGAAATTGCACTGAAATGTTCCAAGGTGAATTAAATGCTTTACTAATGGTGACCTGTAACCAAAGACACGTAGCAAGTTTTGCTAGCATTCTAACTGTGAAGAGGATTCATCAAAAATAACTTCTGCTACATTTTTTGCAAACCCCTTTTATCCTTGGGAGATTAAAAAAACTCTCTTATTCCTTAAGAGTGTCCAACAGTACTCCAAACCACTTCTTTGTATACAGCTGTGATGATCTTGGATTCGGACAGATTTAATAGGTTTCCTCTGCTTTTTCAGTTTGCATGTGAAACCAAAGGTGACAAGAATGTGGAGACAGATTTCAGTGTTACCAGTGTGATGGCATTACATTAATCTAGGCCTTCTCTTTGTTCAACCCATTAGGGACTGTCAGCTCTCATCCATCTGGCTGACAGCTCTGTACTGTCAGTGACAGCTGGTTGAAGCAGCTCAGACAAAACCAAAAATTTGCTTGTGAGCAGGGTGGAACTTTTAGCAAACTCACAATTTTCTATGTTGTTGCAACACAAGGAGTGAATCCGTCAATGAAGAGACAACTACAAAATATGGAGGTCATTCTTGACTGCATTTTCACATTCATAGAATTGTTTGGTTGTTTCCATTGAACTGAAACTGCTTCTTGGCAGTTTTATCTGTCTTTTGATGAGAGATACACTTGAAATCAAACTGCAGAAACAACTTTGCTAACAGTAAAATTCCTTCTAGAATAAAAACAGGTAACATCTCCCAGCTGATGTACTAATTATTGTGATAAATATATACCTTGATGTTTTTATGTCTTTGTTTCCATTTGTACTACTGTTATTCTGGGATTTGTTCTTTTTACCTAGCAGGCAAACACCCACATCATGGTATAAAAATTGACAAAATAGCATTGTGCAATCCACTCAAGCTGCTGTTGTAGCTAGTCTTAACCAGAAAAAGAAAAAAAAAAAAATTTCTCAGTTGTGTACACTTAGAAACATGGTAACATAGATCTGTATGAAAGAGAACTTTTAATATGTAAAGAAGTTACATGGTGAGAGGACAAGGGACTACTAACCGAACACTGAAAAGTGGGCATGCCAGTGCAGCTGTTGGATAAGGCAAGATGTTGTTTAATTAACTTCTCAGTTTGTTAACAGGATGACATATATAGAGAGAAGCTTCTTGGATTAGATTATGAAAGAACACATAGGGGAGTCTTTTTCTTTGGGCTCTCCAAGGATTTAAACTAAGAAACTTGTAGGTTATAAAAACAACTTATTAGGATGAGGAAATCCTTAAAACTGGAGGGCGTGGTCATTCATACTGTGGCCTGACAGTATCCTAATACAGTCCCTTGAGGATATTTTCTTAAAAGGTGCATTTTTACACTAACTGCATGATATGTCACTGTGATGACTGTGGTGTTGTACTGAAAGAGTGTTGTCAGTAGCTTTAACATAAATGCTTCTGCTTAGTAGTTCAATTGGCAAGTATTTCTAACACTATTCAGTTCTGGCATTCTTGGGTTTCCACCTGGAAACTCCTGCTGGAGTTTTAGGTGTTTGTGAGCTTATGTGACAGAAGAACATCACAGACCATACATTTTCCTGATTTTCTCCAAAGTAGAGACAGCTCAAAGGTATAATAGACAAATAATTCACAACATCCCAGTGACATAGGATGACATATGCTTTTTAAATCATGCTTGTATGATGCAGTATTTTTATTATTAGCTGATGACCAGGTTCATCTTGTTTAATGGCAGTGTTTTCCACAGGTTTGGTAATTAACTCTGACATAAAGCAGAGGGGTAAAAGGAAGCAGGTGTAGCCACAATGTGCCAATGAATCCATATGACATGACAGGACGTGCTCTGTAAAGCGAAATTAGGGGCAGGGAGGTATTACAGCCCTCGTGGGCTCTCCCACAGGTCTGTGTCTGCCTACTGAGTAACACATTTTCATTCTATTGTAACTAATCAAACTAACTGCAGTGCTATAAATCATTTAAAAGACGATGCTTTAGGCCAATTTTAATATTTTTTAAGATTTTTTTTTGTTACTTCTTCCCCCATAGAAAATGTTTATTAGTCTTTTCATAATAACTACTAAGATTTCAAACCACAATGCCTTAAATATATCCATTACCAAGGAAGCTACACGTACTTCTTACACATCCATTTTCTTCAGGTTCACATTTCTGTCATTCCACACTGTCAGTGCC